AAGAAGGAAAGGAGATTTCCTTCCTTTTATGGCTTCATTTGAGCTCGCAGTGGATGACATGACACCTATGAAGTACTTGTAACCATTTGATTCTGTGCCACATATCAAATAGAATTTCTGAGGGAAATATTGCTACTATATTTATTGGTGGATTCCCACTTAGCCCATGATTCAGGGAATTTGAAATGTGCTGCAGAATTGTGCCCTGTACTAGTGGCTTGGGTTTTTTTAAATGTGAAAAAGGAAGTTTTTAGGTCATACTATTTAAAATATTAACTAAGTATGAGCCATTGCCTATCTGAGTCTGCAGAAAGCCTGAGAAAAAATGGTTCTGCAAGGAATGAACAGCCCCAGTCATCTCACTCAGTGACTCTGCAGTTGGGAATTTGGCATTTTCCCAAGATACCTCAGAATTCAGCTGTTCCTCTTAGAAGAAGCATGGCTTTGGGTATGGCAGGACAGTTCATGGCAATATAATAAATGAACGCATAATTTTGGAGTTTTGGCTGCAGAATTTGGTTGCATTAGGCTGCAGAGTACAGGGTCTGTGTTCATATGAGATTTTTATCATGATTGTCTCTCTCAGCTAATTGCTTCCTGATTAGGGTGGCCATCATAGAGGACATTCCGGTTTTCTGCTACTCTGTCCTCTGTCCTCTATTGATACAAAACCCGACGCCTTTATGTTCTCTATTTTTCTCTTGAAGAAAGACATCCGGTTTCATATCAATAGAGGACAGAGGATAACCGGGCTATTCTCTATGATGGCCACCCTATTCCTGATCATAACTAGGCATATTTATACCATAGATCACAGTTACAGCATTTACAAATGGCTTTGCAAATAATTTGCTGTGATGTTCAGTATTCCTTGGGAACATCCTATCAAAACTATAGGTGATATTGTATTAAGGTTATCTCATTTTAATAGATGTTATTAGGTATGCTGTTATTGATCTTCAGCTAGCTTGGGATACTTTGTTCTGGTTTATGGGCATGGCCAGGCACAAGGAGATCACCCCAGCTGAGGGTGATCCTCTGGTTGCCTCCATGTTGATGTATGGAGTTGCACCTATGAGGGAGGAAAGGGGATGTGGTCTGAATGTCCTCCATTCTGTATTGCGTCTTGAGCTTCATCCTTCAAGGTATAGGGCCTGATTTTCACTTACCAGAAGGCCTCTTTATACTTCTGTGACTGTAAATGGCATGTTAACACCCATTTTATTAGGTTTGTTCACACAGCCAGAGCCGCATAAAGAGATCTTAGCATAAATGAGACTAACCCAGCTTATAATGTGTGTGTGTGGACAGGAAGAGACAGTAAAAAAACCCAAAGTGGAATCGATCTAAGTTACATGGGTTTCTGTAAGCGGCACAGTTTAGATCAGTAGTGAACAGAACAAGACATTCACCCTGTGGTGGGGAGGGGGTGGGTGGGCAAATCTTAGAGTGGGTTCTGCCATTTTAAAATGAGTATGTGTGCCAAACTTCTGTTCTATTCTGGGTATAGACTGTTTTTTGATCGCTTATATTGGTAAAAGTATAATGTCTGTACCTAGTCTATTTGTTTATACTCAACAGAATATAACCTCTGCAGTACACTATAGCTTCTGCCTAGAAACTGAGATAACTGTCTAGTTTTCTAAGAATGATGGTAGATTACAACTCCTCAGACTGATTCTCTGATATTTTCTTTTTCTAGCTGGAACTTGTCTCATCACACAGACAGCAGTGGCTTCTCCCCTCTCAGCAGTTTGTTCCCATTAGCCCTTATGATGGAGGCCAACGACCAGTCACAATACTGAATCCTCCCACATTATCATGGGCTATAAAATGCTACTGTATCTGGTCTTTTTGGCTGCCAGGCTTTTTCTTCAGTGCCCTCAGAGCTTCCCATAGGTTCAGCTCTAGATTCAAGCCATCTGGCTGTGTAGGTTTGTGCATCCTCAATCAGCTTTGTGCACAGCATGTTGCCTTTATTCTCTACCCAGCTGCAGAGTACCCTTGCTCATGTCATGTGTTCTGTTACTCTTGAAAGCTGGTACATCTCTAACTATACAAGGAAGCAAATCAACAAATCCCTGGATGGCTCTTCTTTTTGATTTTCAATTCAGCTATTTAGGTAAGGGATACCCATAACTTAGGCTTGCAGCAGAAATGTGGGGGTGGGTATAGAAATTGTATGAATTGAGAGACTGTAAAATGGGTCCTGGCTGATCAGCAAAAAATACCTGAATTGCTCCACAAAAGTTTTTTTCAGAGCAATTTCTAGAATATAGATTTAAGAGTTTTAACAGATTGAAACTACAGTGGAAGGAAAGAGTTCTTCCTGCCAGTGACCCAGGCATGTCAACTTCCATTTCTCCAGGCATCCAGTTGCACCTGCTTGTCTATTTTTATTTTACTAAATGAAGTCAAATATCCTTCCCATATCCTTCTCCTAAACAGAGATCCATTTACAAGTTCAAGTTCACCTAGAGTGTAGAATATTATCTCCTTGCTTTCCTCCCCAGAGCAGTTCTGTTACAGCTGACTATTGATACAGCAGAGTAGCATTTTATTTGGCCGAGAGCTTCTACAACTGTAGGCAATTAGATTGCATGCTCTGTAGTAAACAGCAGTAGGCCAGTTTCCAGACTGGGACCAAAGGCCCATTTACTTACCTATTTACTTTGGCAACAGAAATCAGTTATTTGTAAAGGCACAGAACAACTCTCCTCTGCACAAAGGCAGCATTATTCCCCCTGTCCAAAAATATTTTAAAATAAGATTTCCCCCTCCTTTTCTCTCCCAGATCTGTGGCACCAATTTCAGCTATGTCCAGGACCAGGGGTTGGCAATCATTTTGCCACCACAGGCCAGTCATTGCAATCCAGGCTGTGCCACTGGCCACCTTCGTGTGCCCATCCTGGGGATCAGCAGATGCTGTCAAAGGAACAGTTAGGAAAGTGGCAAAGATTAGGACCCTGTAGAAGCCACATCTGCAGCAGTGGAGAGAACAAACTGAACATGGCGACCACGGAAGGTCACAGGTAGGGACTTACTGAATTCACGATTTCCGTGACGTTCAGCAATGGCCATGAAATCCGCGGAATCTGTGAAAACGTCAGGAAAAAAAACCTTATTAAAAATAAAATGCTGGCTTTCCAGAGGGAGCCAGCAGTCCTCACCACACTGCAGCAGCCTGCTGGGGTGTGGAGGGGTGGGGGGGCTGCCTGCTCAATTGGGAGCAAGGGGTGGGGCTGTGTGATGGAGAGCCCTCACAGATAATCAATGGAGAGGGGCGGGGCCACATGACAGGCAGCCCTGCAGCCAAACAGTGGTGAGGGGCTGGGCCACTGGGGCCCCTCGGCCAATCAGAAGCACGTGGGGGGGGAGCCGTGCTCCACCTGCAAAATGGCTGCCCAGGCCTGCATCTCACCTGCGAAGTCAGGGGGCAGCCCTTGTGAATTAGATAGGTCCCTAGTCATAGGAGCCTGGAGGTGCCTCCTCTGGAGCTGTGGCTGGAAACTGCTGCTGATTCCCAGTCTGTTCATGAGCTAGATCTGGCCCACAGGCCATGTTTGCCAGCCACTGCCCCAGACTTATTTGCTTAAAAAAATCCTCTCCGCACAGGTGATGCAGCTCTACCACCCTTAATTTCATACCCGATTAAGAAAAAATGATCAAAAGAACATTGTCTACAATATTATTTTCTGTTATGGTATCTTTTACTCTCTTGTGCAGAGTTCACCTCTTTTCTTTGCTGCTCAGAAACCCTTGTTTTCTAAGCAAAGACGAAACGTGTTTCTTATTGGTTTTAAAGGAAAGGCCGAGATCCTTTATAAACACTGGGTTTATTTGTTGAGTTTCACCATGCAAACATTCCACTAATTCTCCATTATCTGGATATCTTCCCTGCACAGCCCGAGGAAAGATAAGCATCCAGCATCCAGAGATGAGATGACCAGATGGCCCAAGGTTTGTGGGGAATTGAGCTAAATCTCTGATCACTAATAGAGAACAGGGCACTTGATAAGTGTCCAGTATCTCTACAGCTCTTTAGTCCAATCTCTTCCCTATAGCAAGTTACATCTCAGGAGCTGTCATAGCCTGGTCTTCCTCCCTATGCTGCTCCAGCCCTGTACTGTAAGGAGGAGAGATGGGGAGAGAAGCTGCATAATATCTTGTTATCTAGCAATGATGGTAACTTTGTTTTTGATTTTTCAAGAAACTCCACTTGTGGAGTTATTTATCTGGGCCCATGTCACAATTTGGCTTTCCAGGGGACACAGTCACACCCCTTTGAGGTTGATGGACATCATCATAAGTAAGTGCTTTCTATTATAATTGGAAGTCTGAAAGTGTTCAGTGGAAAATGGACAGGATCTGCAGGATCTCATCTCTAGATGCTGAAATTATCAGGTGAGGTTCTTTGGTTTATGTTATGTAGATTAGATCAGGGTGTCAAACTCACCTGCACTCTTGCCACTGACATGCATGCCCATCAGAGGTCTCTGTAACTGGACATTTGGCAGTAGGCCCTGTCCCTGCTCACCCCACCTCTGAATTCCTGGCCCCTCTGGGAGCCTTGTGGGCCAGGTGCAATGGCTCTGTGGGCTAGATTCAACCTGCAGGGCCACATATTTGTCACCTCTGGACTATATGATCTTGGTGGTTTCTTTTGGCATTTTATAATCTATAACTTGTTGGCAGAGTGAGTTCTCTCAGCTTTTGACCCAAAAAATTTTATGGACTATGCAGATGTCCCTTGTATCATATCTTCTTGCATTCTGTTTGCCACAGAGAATTTTCCTTAATATATTGGTTCCAACAGCAAGACTGAGCCTAGTGCAAACCATTGCTGTGGTTGATGGTAGATCAGTAAAGCTGCAATGCTTTTAAGATTGATGAATGTACTAGTACTTTCCCATTTTATGGGAATTTCTTTTATTGTTGGTAAATTTACTCTGCGTATCAAAATGTATTTGCCTTGTGCACACAGTGAAAGAGGAAACTATTTTAATATCTATATTTTTATAGTTAGTAGTATTTGCACTTCTTATACTTCTCTAAAATTAGAGGGCTGGAGCTTTACCTTTTGAATGTAATGGATCTAAATTAGTAGAGAGCAGATGAAGATCTGGCTCACAGTTTTTAATGAAATGGGGTAGCTTGCATTTGATATTTTGCCTACTAAATGGAAACTTACTGTGAACAGATGTGAATCAGTTATTATGTAGCCCAAGTTTTGCTGTCTTAATAAAAGCAATGTCCAAGCTTTCTGCCAGTGTTTGCATTTAATTTGATGATTTGGTCATAAAAATTGAGACTTTCACACAACATACGACATTCTGAATGTGGCAATTTTAGTTGCTCTGCCCTGACAGTTTCTGAAGAATGACTCAAATGTCGATTAAATGAATAACAAGTCATAAAATGTGATATAATATTTAATATATAATGTATTTAACGTATATACATATTGCAATTACAGTTGTTTATATACATATGCTTGTTACGGGTCAGCCCTTCAATGGTTTGCAAGATGTGCACATAAACATTTTTGGATTTTTTTTAAAGTCTATTCACCACTTACATAATATAAGTGCACAAATCAAATTAGATAATAATCTAATGGGCAGATTGAAATTAGGGCAACAGCAATCTCATCAGACCTTTTACTTACTGCCTTTGTAGGTGCAAGTAGAAAAGTCCTCTGCAGTCTCTTTTACAATTTGTCTCTCTAGTCAGCCAATGGGTGGCCATGTTGCTAATGGAGAGAAGTAGTGCACAAAGAGGGAAGAACACAATGACCCTGAACTTTCATTAAGTCAAAACTCTAGTGATGGTGTATGAGCATGGTTTCTGCATCCAGATTGGATCACTGAACCTCTAAAGCAGGAGAAGAAGACAGCAAATGACAAAATAAGCCACTAAAACAGTCTCAGTGTAAATTCAGAGAGAAATAATCATTTGTGTTAAAAATTAATTCCTGGAAGCAGAGGCATAACAGAGCAGCTGGGCACCTGGGGCAGTAACAATACATGGGGAAGCGATGATTTCCAGCTGCTGAGGCCACCAGCGTGAAAGTGTGGCTGTGGCAACAGATGTTGTTTTTCTGCTGCCCCCCTCCCTCCCCTTCTCACCCAAGTCAGTGCCAGGTGCTGCTGCCTGGAAGCCTTGTGGGTAGGGTTGAAGCATTTCCAAGAATGCTTATCTGCATTAATCAGCATTATATGCCAAGAATAAATTTAAATTTGGTCTACTCGCTCTCAAAAAATATCAAAATGTCCTAGTTTGGAAATGCTGAAATATTGTCACTTTCCCATTTAAAAACAATACCGTTGGTAGAAGAGTGACTAAAGAGAAGTGACTGATGAATATCTGGCCCACAGTTTTTAATGAAATGGGACAGCTTGCGTTTGATATTTACAGAAAGGGGAGTGATTGGGACAGCAGCCCTGGGTAGCACTTGTCCTTTCGGGGCCCAGGGTGGGAGGGGCACAAAAATAGCTACCATGATCAGCACTGTGGCAGCCCAGTACTGCACTGTGTACCACAGCTGCCCTGGTGCAGAGCTGTCCTGCTATGCCTGTGAGTTTTGGCTGAAGCTATTCATAGAAGCATAGACTCATAGAAAGTGAGGGTTGGAAGGGACCTCACGAGGGCATCTAGTTCACCCCCCTGCTCAAATCAGGACCAGCCCCAACTGGATCATCTCCAGCAAGGCTTTGTCTACCCAGGTCTTGAAAACCCTTTAAGGATGTTACCCGTCTCTGGGTGACGTGTCCCAGTGTTTCACTACCCTCCTAGTGCGAGAGTTTTTCCTAAGTTCTAGGAATAGTCACCAAATTTGACCCAGGTTCCTTA